ATTATATAGGCCAATTATGGCTTGCAGAACTGGAATAAAATTAGAGAATGCATTAAAACATTTTCAGTTTTGTATTCTAAAGAGTTAAAAACACATACCAATAATTGGAATTCGGCTGATAGAAGGGTAGTTTCACAATTTAAGTACATATCTATATTGGGAAAATTTTTACAAGGAATTAAAGTTTTAATACTGAGTCTAGAAATAGTTCTACTCATGAAGGTGTAATTGGGTTAATGAAGTTTAACTTGTTGAAAAATGAGCATTCAAATTTACCCTCTAAGATTTTTTTGTTACAGAAAATAAACAGAACCAAAACTCTACTTTATTAGAGTATTCATTAGACTGGTAACATTTTTACATGTTATCTTACCTATTCATGGAGTTCCCATGCTGCAGGTCCTGTTCCGTAGGTCGAAAGAACTCAGCCATATTGTCTAGCAGTCTACTAAAACCTCGGTTTAAACAGGTATTCAAAACTGTACTAAAATCTGGACTACACAAAATAAGAAGGATAAGTTACTTTTTAGAGTCTCAATGGAAAAGGAAATAAATTCATGAACTGTGGCTACCACTGAGAGCCACCATTTCTAGTCACAATCTAGGTTTTACAGCCTAAAACACTATAAAAATATATCAAGGAGTCAATCCTTAAAAATTAGTATAAAAAGAGAGCGTATTATTTGACACAACACAATGAGAATATTCATCCACTTCTTTAAATTTTCTTACATTGGTTAGCATTTTGTACAATTTATTTTTAAAATTTCAGTAATAGTGTTTCTTCTCGAAGAAACTCTTAAAGAGAAATCCTCTTATAGCCATAGATTACTGGTTTGCTTTACATATTCCATCATGAAATACCAGTAATTTAGAACATTTTATTATCCTGTACAGATGAGGAACTGGATACTTGAGGGATAAAGAAATTTGTCCAGTAGTTTGAAATTAGTAAATGGGGGAGCTAGAATTTGAACCCAAGCCTTTTTAAATTTAAAGTTCAAGATCTTTCTGTTATGACATATTAACACTTCACAAAAAATCATATATAATAAAAGCCAATATGCTGAGTGTCCAGTTGGCCGGTTGGCCGTTCAACCAATCAAAGTGTAATATGCTAATGATATGCTAAGGCCGCTCAACCGCTTGCTATGATGTGCACTGACCACAAAGGGGGCAGAGAGTCGACCGGTCACTATGATGTGCACTGACCACCAGGGGGCAGATGCTCCGACTGGTAGGTTAGCTTGCTGCTGGGGTCTGGCTGATCGGGACTGAGCAAGATGGGCCGGACACACCCTGGAGCCGCCCGTGGTCCCCCCCCAGCCCTGATTGTGCACTCGTGGGGTCCCTTGGCCTGGTCTGTGCCCTCTCACAATCTGGGACCCCTTGGGGGATGTCGGAGAGGCGGTTTTGGCCCAATGGTGGAACAACCGGCAGCTATGACACGCACTGACCACCAAGTGGCAGATGCTCAATGCAGGAGCTGCCCCCTGGTGGTCAGATCGAACCTGGGACCCTTGAGTCCGCAGGCCGACACTCTATCCACTGAGCCAAACTGGTTAGGGCAAGATGTGAAATTTTTATCACTCAAAGTTTTAGAAACATTATATTCTATCCTAAAATAGAGAGAGAAGGAGTAAAGGAAGATGTTCAGATGAGAGAGAGAGAGAGAGAGAGAGAGACACTAGTATACACTGGGTATACCAGAATCATTCCCTGAAAGCTTTATTCAAAATATAAACACAATCTTCCAGTCCCTCAACTAATATATAGACTCTCTAGGCTAGGGAAGTAAGTGGGCCAGGTATGAGTATGCTGAAAAAAATCTCTGCTTCCCTCCCCACCCTAATAAGAGAACCACTAGTTTCAGTAGGAAATCCTACCTAAAGGCAGGGCAACAGATTCAAAATTTAATTTTGACAAGAGATTATGTTGAATATGTTTTTCAAGAAGGACTAAAAATGGTAAGAGTACAATCAAAACAGAAACACATGTTCTCTGTTACATACAGTATACGTACCTTTCCAACATGTCTCTAGTTTCATTGAGTAATTTAATAGTGGTAACATCTCTAGGAGAAAGCCCACAGGCCTATGAAATTAAAATGCCACACTTCAGGTTTCAAATATTAGCACAGGGTTATGATGAAGCTAGTCATATTAATAAACTCCAGAGTTGATGAAATCCTAAAGTCTATGTTCTACCAACAAGCAAAAAATGTTAAACTATAAAAGAACTGTAAAGACTCATGTGTTTTTAAAGATAAAGAAAATCATAATACTTTGTAAGATCTTTGTTTATCTGGGCCCTCTTAGACACATTTCTAGCATATATTTGCAAAGAACAAAATAGTCCTTGTGGTTGCAGAGGCCTGCGCTTTTTTTTTTCTTTTATTGGAAAGACATTTTATCAGGAAATATATGTATATTTTGGACCAATCTACGCTAGTCTGGGGCTCTGTGTGTCCTTTCAATCTGAAGTTTCAGGTTTTAACTCAATTCAGGCAATATTTGGCTTGCTATTCCTCTCTACATCTGTTCTTCTGAATCATTTTTTGTTTTTAGTTCCACAGCTGAATTTTAAAATTCCAGAATGCTTTTTAAATACCCTTATCACATCTCCTTGAGATTCTGCCTTGTAAGTAAGTTTTCTCCTATTTCTTTTATTAATTCTGTCCCATCTGTTCTGCTGGTTCATTTTAGCCTCCATCCATCCTGCAGGGATGCCTTAAACAGGTTGCAATTTATTTTTGGCCTCCTCATGAATACAAAATATCTCAACACTCAACAGGTCTATCTTTGGGGTCTTTAGGGAGGGGGTTGGAAACCTGCAGACAATGAAATATATGGCATTCTTTCTTCTAATGCTAAGGTATGGCATAGGGACCTTTCTGGTCTAAGCCTTCTCTAGTTGTCCAGTGAGAGATGCATGGGTGCAATCCACTTACATATGAAAAAGCCAATAACTATTTTAAAATGAGATACAGAACCTGCACTCTTTGGCATTTTTATTATTCTTAATCAATGAATAACGTAAATCACAACTGCCTGAAACACACAGGTGCAGCATCACCATGGTGGGTAACTGCTAGATTAGGCCTTCTTTGTTTCTCAACTAGATGACAACTTCCTTCAGTCCACTTAGATATTGCCATCATTGATTTATTTTAAAAAACAAATGTGATAGTGGTAACTGGCCTGATTAAAATTTACCTTTCTTCTTTTAAAATATATTTTTATTGATTTCAGAGAGGAAGGGTGAGGCAGAGAGAGATAGAAACATCAATGATGAGAGAGAATCATCGATCGGCTGCCTCCTGCAGGCCCCCTACTGGGAATGAGCCAGAAATCCAGGCATGTGCCCTGATTGCGAATTGAACTATGACCTCCTGGTCTATAGGTTGATGCTCAACCACACCGGCTGGGCTAGCTCTATCTTCTGCTACTTGACCTTATGAAAATACAATATTCTCTAGCCACATGAACTGAATTTGTCTCCTGAGCTTCTCACATGTAATGAGCATGTCCTAATCATTTTATATCCTAATCATACATCATAGTACTTGTCACATAACTAATAGATAATAAAAATTTGCTGAATATCTAAAATTATAAATGTTTCTAACTAGAAATCATATGAAATGTGTTTTCTAAATTAATGAGTTTTATTTAAATTATTGAAATATATATTTTTCAAATATTTACCTTTTAAGAGACTCAGAAATCTACATTTTAAGAAACAGTAAAAAATTTCAATATATAGAGTAAGAGCTTTGGTTAAATGGTCATGAATTAAGTACCTGAACTGCTAGTGGAGTTTCTTCATCTGGCATCATATAATGGCATAATAAAGATTTATATCCATTGTTATTAGTCCAAGAGGAAGAATTATGCTCCTCAACGAGATTTCTGATTTCTTTCAGATTTTGCTCCAAGTCCAAAAGGGACAAAGAATGTTTAAGAGAAACACTAGAAACAGAGAAAAGGAAATTGGGATTAATTGAAACTATACCATACATCCTACACACACTTTTTTCCTATCAGGTTACTATCTGAGATCCTGTTTCATCCAGTCAAACCTGAAACTGCTGACTGTGAAATCACTTGAGTAGATTAAGAAATCAGCAGTCAGTTAAGGGGCATTATTACAGAGCCAAGAAAAATCTTGCTGCAGATTTCACAAGAAAATTCCCACTGTAATTATAGACATTACCAGTATAAGTGGGAGATAAAAGCCTCAGAGGCAAATTTTAAAGTAGGTTTTTACCCCACAATCGAAATATTTATGGTTTGGAAATCTATAAAAACAATGAAACATTAAGAGTTTATCCTCAGTATCAAAAGGTCGATACTAACGAAGAAAATGGATTCCACAATGCAATATCCAAGGGTTATGTCTCTTACTAGCTTACAAAGAATTTCATGAACAACCTTTGTCAAGTTACTAGCTTCGCTAGAACAATTCTAATTTTTTTTTCATTTTTAATTAAATTTATTGGGATGACATTGGTCAATAAAATTATATATGTTTCAAGTGTACAATTCTATGATACATCATCTGTATATTGCATTGTGTGTTTACCACCCAAAGTTAGTCTCCTTCCATCACCATATATTTGACCCTCTTTACCCTTTGCAACCCTCCACTCCCATTTCCCTCTGGTATCTAATTTTTCTTTTATTCATTAGAATCAGAAGTCAGAAAAGCCAAAGCAAAATGCCTCACCTTCCTAAAGTCTTATGCACAGCTTGTTTAATGACAGTGATCAGCTCTGTCAGGCCTATTAAAAGAAAACAAACATAAAGCCTTGTTTACTTTTCAAATTCCTCAATAATACAAATGAATGAATTACAATTAGTTTACAGGTCACAAATAAGAATCTTACCATCTCCAAGGAGGTGTTGAATACTTGATAAATATTGCTGTTGGACATCTGGGGGAGCAAGGACTGTCTGTACAAAATAGAAGGTTAAATTACACAATATTATTAGTAAATAATATTTTCAATGTAACTTGAGCGGAGATTTTCAGGACCTGGGTGAATGGGCAATATAAAATTCTTTAACATAACAAAAAGTCTAATTTCAAAATATAAAAAATAATAATGCTAAAAGTTTAAAATCACATGAAATATAGATATTTAATTTAGAGAAATTATCAAAAGTAGTAATATTCGGTTAAAATTAGAACCTCTTGAAACAAAGGGCACTATCTATTTAAGTTTATTCCACTTACAGTGCCATTTTTGCCAACTGCTGCATTATCCAGGTAAATATATCCACCAATAATGTTTAATTGGACTCGCAAAAGAACCACCAGCATACATGTACTATATACAGCTACAATACTTCTTGTAAAACCTTCATAGAGGAAAAAAAACAACCATTGGTACTATTATTAAAACACAAATAAATGTGTAAAGACACGAATCATTGCTAAAGTTATTTTTTCATAAGATGACTTAAAAATACATTTGTAACTGTTTCAAATACAAAAATATGTCAATTCAAAATATTTCAAAGTCTATCTCATAACTTTTTAATGTACATTAGGTATGATCTCTTAAAACAATAACCAATAGATTGAATGAAGGATTACATATTATTAACTTTAAAAAGTTAAATAAGAAAGGACTGCGAAGCACTAAGAGTTGCAGCCTCAGAACTCTGGTTTTCCCAGGGAGCTAATTCAGATTAAAAGAATTTTACTAAGCTTGGAAGAACTCCAGCTTTCAAAGGCAGGCAAAGGAGGATGAGCCCATTAAAGGATTAGAGGAAGGCACAGAAACACAGGGAGACATCTGGAGAACCTCATACTGTCACAGTAGTATAGAACAGTGTTCAAAACAGAGGAGAGTGCAAAGGTGTTGACTGCTGCCATGAGGTCTACAGGAGAAAAATGTCCAGTGGATTTAGCAACATAAAAGTTACTACTAATGTTGCAAGATCTGCATGGGTGGAGACATGGGAGTAGAATCCAGGCTGTAGTGTGTCAAAGAGTGAGTGGGAGTGAGGAGAAGCGAATGTAGAAATATTTGGTATTATATAGGGGTGTGAGACTGCATAATAGATCAAAGGAAAAAGAGGGTACTACAAAGATTTAATTTATTTTCAAACAGGAAGCCTTAAGCATGATTCAGTTGATAAAGATTAGTTGAATGGATGGGAAAATGTAGGAATGATAGTATGAAGTTATAAGACATGGATATATGTATGTGCTAGGACAGTTTTTTGCTTCAAACTTTTATCACTACTGAAAGTTTGCACACAGTACAAAGTAAAGTTACTATCTGGGTTGGAATAAAAACTTTAAAGTATAATATTGCAGATATCAGTACCTAGTATAAGTATATGTAGTCTAGGACAGGTGTACATATTATCATAACAATAACAATAATACCACCTACACTATTAATACTCATTTAGTACTTTCTATGACCAGACACTGAACTACTTGTTTTATGAGAATTATCTAATCCTGACAACTCTATGAGATAAAGAAGAGTCATCAACACAGAGTACAAAATTTTCCCTTTAGAAATATTTTAAGGATGTGCTGCTGTCATAGAGTATGTAAGCTTACTTATTATCTTCAGATCTTCCCATATTTCTAACTTGTTTGAAGGCCTAAAGAAAAAAATCAGAATATATGAAAATAATATTCAGATCATCTAAGAGAAAACTTTGCATTTTATAGCTGTATATTTAATTATAGTTTATTACAGGGTAACTGCAAAAACAAAACCCACAAAATATAGTAAAAGACAACTATAATTTCAGTAACCAGTGATAACAACTATTTACACTAGTATATTGGTATATATCTTTCTAGTCTTTTTTCCTCTTTCAGAGCATATGCTTATCCTATATAATAAAAGGCTAATATGCAAGTCAACCAAACGGCAGGACAACCAATTGCTATGACGTGCACTGACCACCAGGGGGCAGACACTCAACGCAAAAGCTCTTGGCTGGCGAGCACAGCAGCAGTGGTGGGAGCCTCTCCTGACTCCGTGACAGCACTAAGGATGTCCTACTGATGGCTTAGGCCTGCTCCCCAGGGCTCCCGGATTGTGAGATGGTGCAGGCTGGGCTGAGGGACCGCCCCCTCAAGTGCACAAATTTCATGCACTGGGCCTCTAGTATGTATTATAAAATCATGTAGGAAAAACAGAAACAATGTTTATTTTTTCCCACATTTACCATTTTACATATAATGAAGTAGATTCTATAATCATTCAAAGGTAAACAATGAAGTATTTTTTTGCTTTAAAGTATCATTACAGACATATGAATTTAAATATACATTTGATGTATTTCAAGTCACTTTACTTATTCTTATTAATGTTCAAATTGTCCATCTTTGACCAAGTGCGGGGGAACTATTCAGGTTAGTTCCTGAATCCTTTTGACATGACCCCATTTAGTCTTTGATAGCTTCCTTGCTTACTGACATAAAAAAACTGTCTGTGTTTATCTTGTTCATTTCTTGCTGCAGACCTGAAATCAGCTATTTCTCCAAGAGTCCTACTTCCTGGTTGCAGGAAAAGGTAGTCTGAGATGGCAACCTTTGATTAAAGATATTCATCACTACTGGGTAGCAATTCTAAGCTTCTTCAGCAGACTAAGATAGTACATATATGTGTATTTATACACTTATATGAACATACGTTCAAAGAGATAAAATACATCATGAATTCATACTTTGAATTATTTAGTATCCTAAAATGTCTTAAGAATTAAACTAATCCTTTCAAAGTGTTCTATTTCTTTTATGATAGAAGATGTTAAAGATTCTTTGTCACCAAAACATCATTGTCATTATCGATCTTCAATAAGAATGCCAAGTACTAAAAACAGTGATGGAAGCCTATTTGCTAAGCTTACAAATAAGACTACCAAATCTCTTCTTTATTTCTGATCATCTATTATCATAATTAGTTTAAAGAGAAAAGTAACTTGCTTGACAGACTTATAAGAGACCTTAGTTGACTGAAAACTAATACAAAAACAATCATTAGGTTGGAGGCCTATTTAATTATACTTTGTAAGGGTTCAATTCCCTCTTTATGCAAATGTCTTTCAAATGGACATTTTTTTTTCCTTCAAACTGCAAACAGTAATTTCAAATCAAAAGGAAGATAAGGAAAAATAATACTGAGATATAAGAAGGAAACAGCGAATTAGAACTGTTGCCCATTTTAAACTCTTAGGAACTTAAGAAATTCTCCTCTCTGCAATGGAGTAAGAAAAGAGGAATGACACCTTTTCTTTAAAGCTGTCCAAGATTAGCCTTCAAAACTAATCCCTGTTTTCTCTAGCCCAACACATCTTCACCCCACATTTTGCTTTTGAATTTTTTTAAACGACAGATCAAACATACTATGTCTTAAACTATAATTTATTTCATCTACTTCCTTCCTAGTATGGCAATGTCTTAAAGGGAAAGAGACCCTTTGTTAATTATCACAGGGAACCTAGGGCCTTGCAGGAAAGAGTCACCAAGAAGGACTTTTATAAAAGTGCTACTCACCTATTTCATTTGTCATGTCTCCCTAATAAAACTAAAACTTAAGATAATTAAAATACATTTTTATTCCCTACTTATATACTATTTATTTATCCCCTATTTATGGACATAGATGTGATAATTAAAGATTTACTTGGAGTAATCTGCTGATACGTTTCTTCTTCATATAATTATATGAACTAACATAAACTGAACTTACATCTGTAAGTAATGGTGAAATTATGTCAGCCTCTAATAAAGATGAAATTTAGAAGGAAAACCCCTTATCATAGAATTACATTTTAATCAGATAAAAAAATTTCCAAGTACACAAATCTATTGTTACTTTGGGAGGTATTCTCTGAATACAGAAAATGTTTCAAAGACATTTTCCAGCTTGCTATTGAAGCTATCTGAGCAGTAAAGTCCTATGTGCAAAATGAATGAATAATCTGCCTCACAAGGATATTGTGAAAATTAAATGGAACAAGTGTGAAAATTAAATGGGAGCATGTATGTATGGTATCTGCACTGGGCCTGGCACAGAGAGAGTTCAGAAATAATACTTTCACCCTGACTGGTTTGGCTCAGTGGATGGAGTGTCGGCCTGTGGACTGAGGGGTCCCCGGTTCAATTCCAGTCAAGGGCATGTGCCTTGGTTGCGGGCACATCCCTAGTGGGAGGTGTGCAGGAGGCAGCTGATAGATGTTTCTCTCTCATCGATGTTTCTGGCTCTCTATCTCTCTCCCTTCCTCTCTAAAAAAAATCAAGAAAATATATTAAAAAAAAAGAAAATAGCACTTTCTTCCCCTGGGTATTGAAGGATGATTACTAGGAAGGTGAATATTTCAGTAAGGCCACAATGATTAAAATTTATTTATTGAGACCATATCCCTACATCTTGTCCATTAAAATAAGAAGCCATTTCTTTCTAGAGCTCTTCTCAAATTTACATAGCACCACCAAATTAGAATACCCAACACATACTGCACTCCATATACAAGGTCCTATGTGTGAAAGTGCTGTGTAGCCAGTAAAATGCCATGGTAAGGTAAATTATCATTACTGTTGCTCATGTTGTATTTGTACTTCACTTTGTAAATAATATACAATGTAAGTTCAGGGAGGTGGGGGGAAGCAATGGGGTGATAAGGGCACATATGTAATACCTTAATCAATAAAGAAAAAAATGAAATAAAATGTAAGTTCATATGCCTTATTTACCTAAAATGCATGTTCACATGATTTACCTCTTAAATTGTAAACTCTCTAAGAAGCCCACTGTTCAACATAACTTAGTATTTGGTTCAGAAACACATTCCATAAGAACTCAATAATTACATTTCTGAGTAATGTCAGTGATATAAGATCTATTTATATAAAAACCAGAATGTATATAAATATTTGTTCACCCAAATATTTTGTGCATCAAGGCAGAGTATAAATAAATGGACAAAATAAAATATGAATTCAAAGATATAGTTAGTATTTTTTTCCAAATAAGCCTATATATTGTAAGCTTTAATTAGAAAGAAAAAAACAAGGAAACAAAGATGTTTGAAAAGTATTTCAGTGAATTGTACACACTTTAAGTGCAGTATATAAGTAAAAAAATACTGTACCTTGTATTTACCTGTTTTTTAGCAGAGCTGTGAGGCTCTCAGAATTGAGTTGCTGCATTAAGGCCTCTCTCAGTGTTGGAAGCATGGACAGCACTGTAACACAAACAGAAAATAAAAGAGGTCACAGTGCTATGACTGCCTTCCCTGAGAAATGCACATTGTTTTAGGGAACTAACAAGGGCTGGGAGAAGGCCAGGATTAGAGTTTTCAAATAATTATTATTAATGTTAATAAAAATGGATTATATACTAATAAATCATTTATCTGCTTATGTTAAGTGAACAAAATGTTATGCATACTATGATTATAGCAATGTAAACAAATATACACAGGAAAAAGTATGGGAAGAATTATTCCCAGATGCCAACAGTGATGGCATCTGGGCTATGGATTATGGGTGATTCTTTTTTTTCTATTTTCTGTACTCTCCAAATTTTCTTTACAAAAAAAGTCTATTTCTGATATAATAAAATGATTTAAAATAACATTTTTATCTTTAGCTATACTTTTTGCTTCACATTTTAGTTTTAATTTTAGAAAAACACATATATTAAACACTACAAAGTGATAAGCATTTATTATAGGCTCGGGAAAAGTCACCAGGCTAGGAATGAAGAGTTGCTAAGCCGTAGTTCTAGTTTTGCCAATGGCCACTGCCTGTAACTCCCAAGAGTAACATGAAGATAAAATAAAATACAGTACTCTACGGAAGAAAGATTACATGTAATTTATAGGAGTTGTTTCATTTATGGCTCTATGCATGGTATACGAAATACTGGGTAAATGTACACATATAAATTTAAAATGAGTTTATAACACTAAATAAGTAATAATAATTTTTAAAAAGTCGATTATAAATCTCACATTCTAAAAGGGAAAACTTTAGTGTATGTTTTTTACTTCCTGTAGGCAAGGCTTATTAATTACAAAATCCACATTATTTTTTTCTATAGAACATTTAGCTTTTAACCGACTCTAGACATTTATTTCAGTACTGTACTATGCAGCTTTAACATACTTCCTCAAGCTGTATGATTAAATCACTCAAGGTATTTATTTGTTTTTGTTCATCCTTACCTGAGGATATTTTTTCCTTTGACTTTTTAGAGTGGAAGAGAGGGAGGGAGAAAGAGAAACATGAATGTGAGAGAGACACATTGTTGGTTGCCTCCTGCATACACCCCAACAGGGGCCTGGGTTCAAACCTGCAACCCAGGTACCGGCCCTTGACCGGGAATCGAACCTGTGACCCGTCAGTGCACCGGACAACACTCCAACCACTGGGCAATATCTGCCAGGGCTCACCTGAGGTATTTAGAATATTAACTCCAGTAGTAGCTCAGAGCCAACTGAGTAAAAGGTGGTTTATCTCTTAGTGTACTTGTCTATCTATATTTGGCCAAACATGATATGTTACCTTTCCCAGAACAAGCAAGGCTAGAGTCCTACATTCAGCAAATGGAGTTAGTAGGGAACTAGTTTAAAGATTGTGTAGTAAAACATGATTTGAGGAGAATCTCTTCAATAATTCTCCTGAGAGGTAGGAGCTTTTTACTTTCCACTTTAGCCTATTGAACCAAAGACAAGTCTACTCTTCTCTTCTAGCCATCTGTATGAACACTGAACAAATATAACTCTGTATCTGGTTCAATATAGCATTCATGTCTTTTTTAGCCATTTGGTCTCCATGATAAACATATCCAGTACAACCACAAATCACAAGACAACCCTTCGCCAGCCATGTATGTGTATGACCCTAAGCAAGTAACTTAACCTCTCTGTCCTCAGTATCCTCATCTGTAAACCAAGAATGACACTAGCTGTACCTCACAGGATCGTTGTAAGGATTGAGACATAGAAAGCATTTAAAACACTGCTTCTCTGCACATGGAAATGCTCAGTAAGCGTTTGTGCTTATTATTACCCTTACTTAGCGTCTTCTGACACATTCTAGTTTGTATCTTCTTAACGTGTGTGTGAGAGGCAGAAATGGACCCGTACGTACTCTGACTACTGCAGAGCATGCTGTAACTACTTTTGATCTGAACCACAGACTTTCTTACTAAAGTCTCAGGTTAAATCAGTATCTCTAAATAAGTAACAGCATACTATTTGTTCAGAATAAGCCTATGCTCATTTAGAATTCCCAACCGTTACTCATACACCCTGCTTCCAAGCAAGCTTAGATAATTCTATATCTGGACCACTGACTTTTAATGCAGACAATTCACTTATCCCCATCTAGCACTTATATGAGAGAAGACTATTTTGCATCCTAAAACTTCATTTACAGTGCCAGCTATGCACCCAAGCACTGTGTCATTTGTAAATTTGATAAGCATTCCTTCCAAATCTTTAGTAAAATCATGAAGAAAACAAAGCCAACAGTCAGGGCACAGAAGCACAGTCATTAGATGCTATCTTTCAAGTTGGAGATAATTTCTTGGGCAGAAAAACTAGCCGCATTTACCTAAAAGTACTAAATTTGTTATAGTATATCCATTACATCTTAATCACATGATTTGTAACCCCATTATCAATGCATACCAGAAAGCTAATTTGGAAAGTTTTTCAGAACCTGTATTTTGGCTTATATTGATTACCATATTTTATTTTGAATTGCCTGTGGTCAGCTATTTATTCATCTGAGGGCTGAGATGGTCATGGAAATGTGCCACCACATCTTCTTCTGGGAGGAGATTGTTAGCTGATAGCCACAGCTGCCACCCCCCTACATGGACCATTACCATGCCTGCACTGCTCCCAGCCAATGAGAATGCTCAGTGGGGATACTGAAGCAGGCCCATTCCCGTGGGACTCCTCTAACAGGGAACTTTGAGTCTGGTGCCTTACACCATTCGGCCATCCTGACACACATCTACCAGGGGACTTTGGCTTGAGAACTCCACACTGGCCTGCTGAAACCTTCTGAGAACTGCATTGTACATAGAGACTCTTCTTACCTAATCTTCTTTCCTTCTCCCTTTCCATTCACTGGTCAGACCTGCATTGTGGTCTAAAGGATTTCCTTGTCTACTTTTGCTCCCTCCCCTTTATTCTTCATAGGTGCTTCCTCCAATTAATTTCTCCCACATCTAATCCCATCTTAGTATCTGCTTTCCAGAGAGGACAGACTGACACAAGGATCCATGCCAAACTGAGATATATTTTGAGACTCCAGGACCTACCTTTTTCAATTTTCTGAAGCAAAACTGATTGTTCTTAGTCTTTAAAAATTCATTAAAATGTCCTTGGTAGCACCACTATATTGAATGCTAAATATCAATTTAAATGATTATGCCATTTTAAAAAAAGTTCTTTACTGAGTATTGTATACAAAGCACTTTATCTGTATTGTCTCATCACATCACAGAACATTCATGAACTGGGTTTTATGATGACAATGTTATAAGAGAGAACGA